TTGCATTGGTTTAGGGCACACCCTACTTCAATATTACTTCATCTGAATGACTTACATCTGCAACAACCATGCTCACACATTCTGAGGCATGAAGGGCTAGGATTTCAACATATGAATTTTTAGGGGGCAAAATCAAACCAATAACAAGGTGTTTGTGGTCTAAATGATGTCACAGAGCTGGATAGGTGATGCACCTGAGGTAAAACAGTGAGAGTGTATTAGCAGCTTTGTCAGATAAAAGCAAGTTGCTTTTGGTGGTCTTCAATAGTGGATACTAAGAGAAAGCATTTGGCTGATCAGCAGCTGCATGCTAACCACCAGGGAATGAACGAAGTGGCATCTGGAGCACTGGCTGTAATTAGTGAATCACCCAGTTAGGCTTACAATAATCCACTGTTATTCCCCAAATCCAACCTATCTTATGCATAGGTTATACAGGTTAGCTGAACAGGAATATAGCAGAAATTACCACTACCACATCTTTCAAGTGTACAGAATGTGGAATTGCTTTTGGTTTACTATTTTCCTAGTCAGTTCTAGTGGCTTCCACTTGGCCTTTCCTACCACAATAAACTTTACTCCACAGGTCAGGAAACCAATATGGGGCTTCTAACAGTTGCTGAGTATACCTATACTAATTATGCATCCCAAGACTAGAGAAATAACTACAGAATGGATATAGGGACTCACTGGCTCACTTGAGATGAGATGGACCTGAGCTAAAACTCCATTGACCGCTCAACTTTCATAAGTCCATACTCTGAATGGCAGGTCATGGTGACAGTCCAGGAGTCCTGGAATTAGTATCAGTTCAGAGCCTGTGTGCAGTAATCCCTGAAAGGGCTGATTATTTCCTTTTCTCCCATACACAGTCCCTGGTAAAAAGCTGTAAGCTTCCCTTTGGGGAAACATGGGAGAAAGGATAACAGTATAAATTTTGAGGAGTGTAGTGGAGTCCTTCCTCACTTCAAAGGGTTCTGGGTATGGAAATTACTCATATTGTGGAATTTACTGAAGGAACAAGACTTTCTTTTTGTAATTCAAACTAGACTTCTCTTCACCTGACCTAGAATTCTTCTGCTTAAACCAAACAATTCAGAATTCAGTAGATGCCCACCTGTTTCTCTTCTAGGGACTCCGTGATCAACTAGGCAACATCACAGGTCTCTGTGAGTCAGACTATTCAATTACTGTTTGACTTTGTTATGGTACCTTACCTGCCTCGTCTTTGGTGATCAAGTGCTAGCAGCTCCCAGTGTAATTTCTGGTCTACAGAGAAGAGCAACCTCAAAGCTTTTCAGAGATGCAGAAATTCCCCTAAAAAGTTGATTCTCATAGGGTGAAAAGCATGTTCCCTGATCTCTCTCATGGTGGATAAGCAGATCTTACATGATAAAGCCACTCCTAACACTCCAGTCTTCCTAAACATTTGGATACCTTCCTCTACAGCATACCAAGGCAGCCCTGGCACTCGAACTTCATGTAGAGTAGGTTAGCTTACAGTCCAAGTTTCAGCCGCCAACGGTTAGAGCCTTTTCTAACCCCTCCAGTTACAACAGTGAATACAGAAGATCTCCTTACACATCTGTCCACATCAATAAATTCAGGCTGATTCAACTTTAAGCTTCTTCCATTATTATCCTATGCCTTCTGCCTACCCATCCCCTGGTGCTGGGTATCAAACCCAGGGCCTTACACATAATTAGGTAAGTACTCTATCCCGAACTGCACCCCCAGTCAATCCCATGCCCTTAATATTCATTCCCACACATATTCCAGATTTCTGCCTGCATAAATGCTGTGTTTTTAGTAACACAGCATACCTCATAAGGGATATCCCCATTCTAGTTATGGGTATAGAAGCAAAGAGGCAAACCCTGTGGAGAACCAGTAGTATCTTGCAAGGCCACTGCCGATTCTTCGAGCAAAATAGAGCCAACCTTGTCAAACAGCGGTAGAAGAACTGTTCTTATTGGCAAGCAAGACTGAAAAGAATTTGGAAACTCAGCATGTTAAGAATCTCTAAGACCACTCAGCACAAAATCTGTAGCAGCAAGGCTCCCCCAGCAATACAAAACCAGCATCTAGATAGATACATACATACATAAATATCTACATCAAGGTGGAGAAAGAATTTTTATGGATGGCAACTGCATTAAAGTCAACAACTAACAACATCTTCAAAATACTGTCAGCAGCACCTAATTAGGTTACATAATCTAGCCACGTTGAAAGAAAAGAATTAATTATCATACATAGTAAACCTTCAGATTTGTCAATCAAATATTACTTTCAACTATATAAAAAGCCTTTTAACAAGAATATCTTATTCATTTCAAAAAGACAAAATTTCAGTATGGACACTATGTTAAGTGAACAGGAGGCACAGTCCTTCCTCCAAGACTATTTGGAGCAAAAACTTTACTAAAAACACATCTTTCCTTGCCTACCACAGGACATTATCAGCAAGTTCTGACACTATGTCTATATTTAAAAAAAAATTTTATGTTCCAAAAATATGATCTTCAATTTTAAACAGAAATCACACTTTAAAATTGCACATTCTTATCAATGGCTTAAAATATATCTCCTGAATCATTTTTAATTTTAAAAACTTTCCTTTGGAGATTCATTCAGTAAGCACCTGTTCTTTGCCAAGTACCATTCAAGGCACCAGAATTAGATCATTGAATAAAATGATGATTCCCACCTTGGGAGCTCACATTCTGGCAAGATAACATCCTATGCAGCTCATTTCTCTCTGAACATAGTCAATGAAATGTTAAAAAGTATCAAATCTCCATGCCAGGGAACTTTCAGTCCTGAGTATGGTCTTTTAGCAGGCAGTTACATTATTAGCATAGACTGTGGTCTCTGCAGCATTGGTCCACTACCTACTAGCTGCATCACCGTGGCCAAGATACTTAATCCTCATCTGTAAAACAAAAATAATCACAACAACCCTATTAGATTACATAGACACTAAATGAGGGAAAATGTGTAAAGCACTTAGCTTGGTAGATAGAAGATATTCACTAATAGTAATAACTATTGTTTTAATTCAACTTCTAGAAAACCAGAAATCACTAAGGCAACAATGTGGGGGGGGGGGAGACCAACAGCAACTTTTAAACCATTTTTATCCGGTTCATTTACTCCCTATATTACTACTTTCAAGAGTCCCTCCTCTATCCTTAACTGATTTTACATGACTTCTAGTTAACTTTTCAAAAAGTTACACATGATCTCTGTATAGTCCATGCACAACATCAATTCATTATGGATTTTGTACAAGCATGTTGTTAAGGGGCTTTGAATCTAATGAGAAAAAAAATTCCAAATTAGGCATGGTTGTGCACACCTGCAATCCCAGCAATTGGGAGGCTAAAAGAGGATCCCATGAGATGGAGGCCAGCTTGGGCTACATAGCAAAACCCTGTCTCAAAAAAAAAAAAAAAAAGTTGACATTTTCTGTAAAATTACAAGAGAAAATTATCTCAAGAAACTTAAGCATCAGAACCAGCAAATATGGACCTTGTAAGTACTTGGTTTTAATGCCTGAATAAGTAGCACTTTCATTTTCTAGTACCTGTATCTTTGCAGTTGACAATATTTATTAAGTTAATTCTCAACATAGCTAATTGCATATTATAAAAAATATAAGCGCAGTCACCTGAAATTGATTTCTTGTTTTTGTTAAAAGTAAGTCTCTTTCTTGGTTCAAAGTTTATATGGGGTCAATAACCACAGGAGGGCTGATGCCCACGCTTACAAGAGACTAGACTTAAGTGGTACACGATGCAAACTTTATTAACTAATATAACTATCCCTAAAGCAAAGAGGGAGGCTGGTGAAACACGTGTTCAAAGCTGCTTTGAAGGGATCAGTTTTGGAAAAGAATTCACTTATACCCTTAAGGTGCAAAGGTGTTGAGGCACAACCATTAATATGCACATGCATCAATCAACTATCCTAATCCACAGGTAGTTTTGACCCTAATGCCGGGGTGAAAGCCCAGGCACAGTGTGACACAGAACCACAGATGTTTCCAGTTTCAGTACAGTAAGGACTCGCTTCCACGTCCTCACCGGACATTTGGGGTGATGGTACCAAAGTCCAGCCAACAAAGCACTGCGCCCTGAGGTGTTTCTCAATAATATGCACGGACTGCCCCTTTCCACAGACTCTAACTTTAGGAGAATGACCTCCCTGTTGCATGGTATGGCATGGCTTTCCAAACAAGGCGGTAGAAAACTGTCTGCCAGTTCCTAAGGAGACGTTAAGATGTTGCTCATTTTCAAAACACTCAAACGGCAGGCATTTCCAGGCCTCTCCTCTACTGGCTTCCAAGGAAAGGAAGAGGATTAAGAATTACAACGCATCCCAATCAGTATCCAACTTCAATTTTACAACAGTGAAAAACAGTCCCCAAAAAGGATGTGCCAAGACTTCCGCACCACTGACGAGGGCGGGGTGACCTCTATCAGCCGCCCGGGTGATAGGGCCGGGAGTGTGGACGACTTCCTGGCAAGAGGTCAGATGCCGCCACAGCCCGAGGTGAGGTGCGATGCGCGCGGGGCAGTTTGCGGGGTTTGCGCCCAGGTCTGATTCCCGACACACGCCCGGGGTTAAAGGTGCCCTCTGGACCCTTCCCGCTGCCCCACACAGGTCTTGGGCCTAAGCTACCTCTTAGGACGTTGGGGACACCGCACACTCTGGACGACAGCTCCTCGGATGCCACAGCAGTGTCACTAGACAAAGCGACCTGCCCAAGAGTGGGCCAGGCTCCCCAAACCGCAGGACTCAGGTGGATGCTCGCTCGGCTCCACTGCCCCTGCCGCGCCCACTAGTAGTGTGCTCTGACCGCCCGTGCCTGCTCCGCGCGGCCACTCCACACGCAGCCGCACGCGCGGCACTATGGGATTCGTAGTTTCGGCGCTGAGGAAGCGACGCTCCTCGCCCGGGCGTCACATCACGTGATCAGCACATTCCCAGGAAATGACGAAACAAGGCACACCTTGCGCTGAGTCTGTTTCCGCAAACAGAATCGTGGAGGGCAGTGCGGGTAAGTGTGGTGGTCTGGCTCCACACCTTCCTTGCTTCTTTGTGTTTCAGCTTCAGGAGGAAATACAGCGAGCGCTCTGACTCCTGACCTGGCTCACCAAACATTAACCCTGTGGCTCCACTACTGGTCTCATGGGGGGATTGTGTGCCCCCAGTTGGAAGCAGAATGCATACTGATTGGGATGGCGGGCGCCATTGCTTCTCAGACCCCGCGAGCCGGGGGAGAAACCCGAAGCTGCTTCAGCCCGCATCCCTGGGGCAGCTCTTAGGAGTAGGTTGGACAAAGTGTGGAATCCAAAGGGCTCATTTTGTTTTGAGAGGCGCCTCAAACCTGAACCAGAGTTTGAGTTAGCGTTAGGCCGCGTCCATGACACAAGGGGATGAACTTGGCAGAGCTCTCTTCTCCCCTCTCGCGTGGTCTTGAGCCCGCTGTAGATTTTGACCAGCTTGAGCATTAGCCAGGCGGGAGAAAATGAAGCGGCGGAGAGACCCGGCTTGCTTGAGACTTGTGACTGCAAAGCCAGGTCGAATTGTCCGTGCCGACGTCAGTGGACGCTCCCTGTACCTTACACACCTTTCTCCAGGATTGGGAGTGAGGCGGCTCTCTTCTGTTTGGGGTATTGTCATCATTCCACCTTTTCTCTTGCTCTCTTCTTTTTTTTTTTTTTTTTTTTTGGCGGAGCTGGGAATCCAAATCGGCCTTGAGCACGCTAGGAGCACAAGCATTATACTATTGAGCTATAATACTTAGTTCTAATCAGTCTTATCCATTTCTGTAGTCGTCTGGAATGCTGTATTTATCATGTCATATCTGTGGAAGTAGTGCCCTGTGTGAATAAAATTCACACTTAAATCTCAGTACTAATTTTAGGCAATAATTACAGCTGATGATAATATGTAGCATTGCTTTATTTGAATGCAGAAGTCAGTTTCTTTCCTTTTAGGAAATACGTGGTGTAGGAGGAGAAAGGGATTTGATAATTTGGTTTCCTAGCTACTCATTTGAAGTAGTTCTGCGAATTACTTTTCTGGTGTTTTTTCAGGGATGGGGGTGGGGAGTTGTTTTTGTGTTTGGCGGTACTGGGAATTGAACTCGACCTGCTAGCCAACTGTAAGTCCTTCTACCTCCACCTCCAGAGTAATTGGGATTACAGGCATACACCAACATACCAAGTTAGTTTTTGAGATAGTGTCTCCTGACTTTTGCCTGCGCTGGCCTCTGTCCACTACCTTCCTACCTCTGCCTTCTCATTAGCTGGGACTGCAGTGTATGCCATCAGGTCCCCCACTTTTTCATGTTTTCATTCTCCGATTCAGTTCTTATTTGGCACTTCTTGTTATTTTGTTACCTCAAGTGGTGGGTAGTATCCCTTGAAATTCTTCCTGGCTCATAATGACTTGTTTTTACCTATTCTCTGAGGCAACTTGATGAGTTCTTTTTTCTTATGCAAAAAGTTTTAAAAATACATTCATTCTTTACAACTTCTGTGTTCTGAGTTTTCTAAATTTCACAGATTTTTTTGACTTTTGCTTTTACTTCACTTGGTTTGAATAACACAAGTTAACATTTTATTTCATTTTTGGGGGGTGTCAGTCAGTGCTGGGGTTTGAATGCAGGGCCTTGGGCTTAACTCCACAAGTGTGCTACCACTTGATCCATACTCCCGGTCCTTTTTTGCTTTATTTGTCAGATAGAGTCTTGTTCTTTTTGCCCAGGACTACAATCCTCCTACATATGCTTCCCACAAAGCTAGTATTACAGGCGTGTATCACAATGGTCTGCTTGTTTGTTGAGATGGGGATCTTGCTAACTTACTGCCCAGGCTGTCCTCCAACCATGATCCTCCTGATCTCTGCCTCCCAAGTAGTTGGGATTATAGGTATGAACCATCATGCTTGGCCTAACAATTTAATAGAACTTAGCTTTTTTTTTTTTTTTTTTTTTTTGGTGATACTGGGATTTGAACTCGGGGTCTAAACCTTGAGCCACTCCACCAGCCCTTTTTTGTGAAGGTATTTTTTTGAGATAGGGTCTGGTGAACTATTTGCCTAGACAGACTTAGAACCGTGAGCTTCCTGGTCTCTGTCCTGAGTAGCTAGGATTATAGGTATGAGCCAACTGCACCTGGCTCCAAGTTTATAGCTTCTTGAAGACATAATTCACATTGAGCTTTTCTGTAGTAGAAGTTCAGTAAATTTATTGAATGACTTAATAGACTATCATATAGTTCCTGTTTGATATAGATCTCTCAGTTCCTCCTTCTCATTTTACACATAGACCTAAGAACATACTTAAAAGAGACCTAATGATCACTAAACTGCAGGCTGAGTCTTGAAACTTGTCTAAAGCCATTCCTGTTCTTCACTTTGTATGTAATTTGAGAACCCCATTATGAAATAAGGATTTCAGAAGTCCTTGTTGTAGTTAACTTTTGCATATTTTGTGACCAAAATACCTGAGAGAACAACTTAAAAGGAGGAAAGATTTATTTTGGCTCATGGTTTCAGAGATTTTAGTCCATAGTCCTTGGCTCTTTGATTCTGGGCCTGTGGTGGGCAGAACATCATGGCAGCATGAGTGTGCAGAGGAGCAGGCTGTTCACCTCATGGTGGCTGGAAGCAGAGAGGAAAGAAGTTACTGGGGACTGGGTGTAACCTTCAAAGGAACACCCCCAGTGACCTACTTCCTCTAGCTATGCCCCACCCCCTAGTTTCCAGGACCTCCCAATGTGCTACCAAATGAAAACCGAGCTGTCAACACATGAGCCCATGTGGGTATTTCATACTAAAACCATAACAATTCCCAAACCTTTCTGTTCTTGCTTACCTTAGCCTCTTAGACCAAAAGAAATGTCTTAACAGCTCCCTGTATTAAGTAGCTTAGTTCCAAGAATTTAATAGATATGTCCTAACAATTTTGTACCTGTATGATTAATTACCATACATAAATTGGGGAAAATAATAATACTTAATTTTTGATTGACCACAGTTGCTTTCTAATGGAATGTATGCAGCTGTTTGGTACTCTAAAGCTTGTATGATTTTGTAAGTAAAAATGTATGTCTTCACTTCATTTGTCAGTTTTAATACCCACAATGACTTTTATGATTATGATTGTAGTCATTTGGAGAAATTGTAATTACTACTGCTACAGATAATCCTCTATGTTGAGATTAAAACTTACAGTAGATCACTCAAATCAAATGACCAGGTTCTAGTTAAAATTGTTTTAAAGTCAGCATTAGTGATTTATAAGTAATGTCAAATTTTTACCTTTCTAGTGTTGGTTCATGAAGATTTACCATCATTCAAGTAACCAGAAATGGAAAATTCTACAAAAGCAGAAAAATATGAAAAGATGTCTCTTCAGTGGGGAAAAGCAACAGAAGGTTCTGAAGTAGAGTCTTCATTTAGTATTAATGATACCACGACAATGTCTGGGACTGGGCTTTCTGAAAAGACTCCTGTCTCTGAGCAAAGAGACACACCAGTAAAGAGAAAAGAGTTTGAAGATGGTCTTGTAGAAGAAAATTACGGGGAAGACACTCCATCTAAGAAAAGAAAGCATGATGTTGAAACTGTCCCAGAGGAAAAAGGTTCTGGTGATGATGAAGGCGTTTCAAAGAAAAGAAAACTGGAAACCAATGATTTTCCAAATGATGAGCCTTCCCCTGGACATGGCTCTCAGAAAAAGAGAAAAATAGAAGTGGAAGGTGTTCCTGAAAAGCAGAAAGTATGTTGAATATATTTTATTTGTAAAAAGGATATGTCATCTGGAAATTTGGACCAGTTGTAAAATTATGCTGATTATTTTTTGTTTGTTATTATCTAAATTTAGTAGCTTAAGAATGTTGTACTTTTTTGTGTGTGTGATCCTGGCGTTTGAATTCTGCAGTCTACCACTTGAGCCAGTCTTTTTTGTTTTGGTTATTTCTCTCCAATTTGTGCTTCCCCACCTAGTTGGGATGGAACTGTGATCCTCCCAATCTCAGCCTCCTTAGTAACTAGGATTATAGGCATGAGCCACCATGCCCAGCTTTTACTTTATTTTTTACAGTGCTGGGACTTAAACTCAGGACCTTGCACTTGTTTGGCAGGCCCTGTACCACCTGAGCTGCACTTCTAGTACTTCTGGTTATTTTTTTGCATAGGGTCTCACGTTTTATCTTGACCTTGGACCACAGTCCTCCTATTTAAGCTTCCCACAAACTGGGGTTGCAGTTCCACGCCACCACATTCAGATTACTCGTTGAGAATGAGGGTCTCAGTAACTTGCTATCCTCCTGATCGCTGTCTCCTGAGTAGCTGGGACTACAGCTGTGAACTACCTCACCCAGCCCAAGAATGCTCTACTTGTAATAGACACAAACTTAGGACACAAATAGGCTTTTAACTCTTAGAATTTAATTCTTGTGAAGTTGAAACTTGTGTTAATGAGATAATTTTAATTTTGTTTCAGAACTCTAATTTGACCAGAAAACTGAAAGCTAGTTTCTGTAGTTTGCTTTTTATTAAGATAGGAGTATGGAGTCTTTTTTTTAATCAAATGTTCCTTTTTTTTTTTTGTCAGATGTTCATTGCTCTCTCTTTTTTTTTTTTTTGGTCTTCAGTAGTGAGGGTGATCACTTACAAGTGATAAATTTCAAAATCATACCTAGCTCTGTATTCCTTTATTAACGTAATTAAGCAATAATGTTTCTAAGTTCTTATTAATACTTAAGGTGATGCAGAAACCTGATAAGTAGCAGGGATATTGTGGAGCAAAAAATAGTAACTCTTTTGCCATATTGGAAAGGATTCTGAAGCAGAATCTGGAGTTGGAGAAAAAGAGAATACTTGAAAAAAATGAGTCAGATTTTACCATCATTCCTCAAGAGGAAAGTGGCAGAAAGGCCAGGCTTTTGTCATTTGTGTCCTTATAGGAGGAGCTTTTGTTTTAAAGGTAGTTTTCAAGTGAACACTTACTTTTCAACCTGTAAAATAAGTAAAAGATGAGGCAGTTTTGTTGAAAAGGAAATGGAGGAATCCAAAGCCCTTTGCCTTCTGTGCAATTTTTGTAGACTGCCTGGGTTTCTACAGAATGCAGATTGAAATTATTGCATATAATAGATGTCACTGACATTGAGTACAAGTTACTAAATTCTAATCCCTTTGTGTAAATTATCTTATTTAGTCCTCACAACAGCTGCACAGTAATAATAACATAATAATTTAATTGCTTATACTTGTATTTTATTTCCTTGTAGGAGCTCTATCCATTGACCGTTACATGTTAAATAAGTCAAAACTCTGGATAACTCCAAAGTTATACAGATGAAAGAACAAGATGAAGGTTTTTTGTTTTGTTTTTGTTCTTCAGAAGGAATAAGGCAAAACAAATAGCTGGATCTGGTGGTAATTAGTGTTAATTCTGTGTGTAATTCCATTTTGTGGGGTTCACTTCAGTAGCATTGCATCTTTTCATAGGTCAGGTGTTTTGAGGCTTTTTTATAAATATTCTCATCCTTTATTTTGTTCCTTCTGTTTGCAGAACCTGAAAGAAGGACACAGCTCAGCAGTGGCTGCCCACTACAATGAGCTTCAGGAAGTTGGTTTGGAGAAACGTAGTCAAAGTCGTATTTTTTACCTAAGAAACTTTAATAATTGGATTAAAAGTGTTCTTATTGGTAGGATTGGTTTTTTCCTTTTGGTTTAGTCTTTTAATCTTATTAATTGTGTGTGTGTGTGGTGGCAGGGCTGGGAATTGGAAACTAGGGCCTTGCAAATGCTACATCCACAGCCTTGGCTTTCTTTTTTTTTTTCTTCCCCAGTGTTAACTATTTATCAAGCTATTGAGTCTATTAATTATTTAGTGCACACCTTGGGTTTATAAAAGAACTGGAGCCAATACTAGGGCCTTGAGATACTTCTACTGATTACTTCTGGCTGACTGCATAGGATATTAATGGATGTTTACTTGATGTTAATCAAGCTTTCAAAAGGCAGTGTGCTTATTTATACTTATAATTAAGATTGCCTAATGCCATTATGTACATAATTATTTTATTCTCATAGTTCTGGAGCAATAGCATATCTTTGGGGGCAACATTTTATGGCAGTTCATCTTTGAAATTAAAATGGGAGTGAGTGGAGGAAATAGGATTTAGAATTTAATTACTGCTTTGTATATCTAGTACATTAAGAAGTCAGACTGCTAAGTTTAGAGAATTTTTAAGTTGATGTTGTTTGAAGTTTTTCATTTTTGCAGTACTGGGGTTTGAACTCGGAGTCTCAAGCTTGCTAGGCGTACTCTCCTTACCACTTGGGCCACTCCACCAGACTTTTTTTTGTGATGGATTTTTTTCTAGATAGGATATTAAGAACTACTTGCCTGGGCTGTAGTTCAAACGAAGATCCTCCTGATCTCTGCTTCCTGGGTAGCTAGGATTACTGGTGTGAGCCACCAGCACCCAGCTGGTTTTTCCTAATAAGAGTTTTTTTGTTTTGTGTTTTTGGTTTTTCTAGCTACTGTAAGCAAAAGTGAGAATACTTTTTTTTTAAATTACACTAGAAAGAATAAAATGCTAATTGTGATTTCTAGTAGTTAATTTAGTAATTTTCAAATAAAATCTATTCTGAGAAGTATTAGAGTGAGAACTAACCAACTCTTTCCAAGTTTAATATGACATTTTTAACTGTTTTTTTTCTTTTCCTTTTTGCGGTACTGATGTTTGAACTCAGGGCCTCATGCTTGCTAGTCAAGTGCTCCACTACTTGAGTGATACCCCCACTCTCCAACCTCATTTTTTTGTTTTTTGTTTTTGTTATAATTATTCTTCAAACAGAATCTCATGCCTTACACCCAGCTTGCTTTTTGAGATAAGGTCTTTCTTGTGTTGGCTGGCCTTGATTCTCCTGCCTCCACCGCCTGAGTGGCTAGGATTGCAGCCATGGCCGCTATACTCTGCCCTCAACCTCTATTCTTAAGATTATATCTGCACCTCAGCTTTTCTCTTCGTTCTTTATTATCTTCAAGCAGATAACTTACCATTGGATATTTTAAGGATATTTTGTCATTTATTCTTTTTTTTCACTAAGTAAGTATTTTTTAGTCCATATTTTCCATGTTTTGCATGTATCATTTTTTATAATTAGGAAAATGGGTAGTAGTAGAGGCATAAGTCAGACTTAGCAAAAATTCTTGTACTCATATTCTCAATGCTCTGCCCCTCAGCTGTTCCAGTAACTCTCAGTTTTGCTATCTGCACCTGCCTTTCTGGTCCTAATGCAACCAGTGTGATCTGTGCTATCCTCCCTCTTGGCTTTTTTTCTTTCTCTCTTCAATATGTTCTGTTATTTTGTCTTTCATCTAGGTACTTACAGCTTAGTAATAGTTGAATATAATTCTTAAATTTGATATTTCTTTAATATCAAAAGGTATTAAGAAGGTTTGTGACAATTTCCCTTCTTGTTAGTCTTATCATGTAGAAATAAAAGATTTTAAATTATTTTTAATATTTCAATATTTGTCAGGCTGTTTTCTTAAGATTCATGACAGGAAATTAAATATGGAATTCTTGTGCTTCTATTGAAAATTGCTTACAGACTTAGGACGTGGTTCAGGTGGTGAGCACTGAGTTCAAACCCCAATACAGCAAAAAAGAAAAAAGGTTACTTTCAGACCTTACAGATATTACAAGTAGTTGTATAGAATATTTTAGCCACCAAAATAATAGCATACACATGAACTACAAAGTATTCAACTCTGAATTTAAAGATAGGGAGAGTAGACGTAGGATTCATCATTGCATCAAGTTTTAGAATTGTTAAATATTTGGTCGGCGGGGGGGGGGGGTCTTAGAAAATTAATAAGCCTTTATCTAGGCATGGTGGTACACACTTGTAATCCCAGTACTTGGGAGGCTGAGGCAGGAACTCACAAGTTCAAGGCCAGCCTAGGCTATATGGCAAGATCTTGTCTCAAAATGTATATGTGTGTTTGTCTTAATGAGACTTTAACTGATATTTGAACTTTTTGACTGTGATACTATTTGTTGGTTATTAATGTGATATGATAGATTGGGGTGTTTAAGAAATCTGATGATAGTGAAACCAAAAAGGTAGGTATCGTTTTTTGACTACCTCTTGTATTTCTTTTGATAGTAAGCCTGACTACTTTTATGAAAATGAAACACTAATATCATTCCATAACTATTTCAACTTACTTAGATTATAAGAAGTTAAACACCTAGCTATGGAAAGAAAAAGCTACAAAAAGTATGAATAATTAGTCTTGTCTTACCACAAGTGTTAACAACTTTTTGTAGTAGTTAGAATTTAAAATGTTTTCTACTTTTGGCTCACATTCTAAAAATAGTCTCTAAAAAGCTGTCTTGTCTTTGTAAAATATCACTTTAATGATACTTGAAATGTATATACTTTAGTGATAAAGGATCAAATTGATTGACTCTTGGTTGTATTTTTAAATATCATGTTAGAAATAAACTATACATGAATGTGTAAAAGTTTATATTACATGTCAAGCAGGTTAGTAAATTACCAAAAGTAACAGCATACACTTTAGTAAAAATGAAGATGAGAAAATTTATTAAGACTGATTTCTCTCTTAGGGGAATTCCTAGAAAAGGTACGACAGAAAAAAACCCGTGGTATCACTGTTTTGGACCTGGGATGTGGTAAAGGTGGAGATTTGCTCAAATGGAGAAAGGGAAGAATTAACAAGCTGGTCTGTGCTGGTAAGACAGGTGTTGGCATGGGAAAGAGTTTTTTGTGATCAGTTCAATGAATGGGAAATTAGAAGGGTCGCCTTACCAACTTGATACATAAGATACGTGTTTTTAAAAATTAGCTGTAAGACTTTTTCTGGTGATTTTGTAATATGGTTAAATGAGCCTGGGTAACTTGTCCTTCCCAAAAGGAAGGAAGCTATCAGTAGTGAGTCATTTGTAAAAGATAAACTTGAAGTTTTCTACTGACCAACATAGGAAATTTGAACAACATAGGAAATTTGAACAAAAAGATTAACGATTAAACACACCAAAGGAAAAAAACACCTTCATTGTCCACTCTTGGAAGGTACTGGAACTAACTGTTCTGAAATTGGTAGAATAAGGAGAAGGAATAAAACATTCTTCTTGCCTCTCCAACATGAACAGTATTTCAAAGTAACCATATGATTGTAACAGGAAGTTCCTTTATATTGAGGAATAATAATAGAGGAGGAATGATAGAATAAGAAAATCACTGTCATCTTCGATGAAATACTAGATTGAGGCAACATTCTTAAAAAAAAAAAAAAAACTGAAGCCGTAAGTGAAAAGTTGATAGGAACTTAATGAATGAACTGAGCACTTGAATGCAGGGATCAGTCTTAGCTATGAAGTGGGACCAGCAGATGTCCTGTTCTTTTTGACATGATGAGTTAGAAGAAGCACAACAGCATCACCTCCAGAGTTCTGCCTCAGTCAGTGGGTCTCAAAGTTTTGGTTTTGATGAGCCCTGTCTACACTTAAAAAATAAGAAGGCTTTTGTGTAAGTGGTTATGCCCATTGATGCCACATTTGAAAGTAAAGTTGAGAATTTAAAAGACATTAACTCATTAAGATAAAATTTAATGAGAATGCTGGTATCTTTATATTTTTGCTAATCCTTTTAGAGTCTAGAATTATAGTAGACAACTAGATTCTCACAACTGCTTATGTATTCAGCATGTCATAATGTTATTTTGGTTGTTAAGTAGTTGTTAGATGAAGGCATTAGCCTTTTCAGATGATTATGGATATTCATCTTTATTCCATGCCAAAAAACAGAAAGTTTCAGTTCCTTAAAGATTAGTATAATATGGAATCTGAAGCTTTATTTACAAACTCTTTATACTTTGTTACATTAAAATCCATTGGTCTACGGTTAGCTGAAGATATACAGATCTTCTAAGTGTTTAATGTCACCACCAGTCAGAAAAGTCTTTTAAGTATTAGGGAAATGTTCATCCCATGGTGGCTGGTACACATTTTTCAAAATTGTTAATTTTCACTTGAAAGTGAAATTTTATCTTTGATAACAAATTCCATTATTTTCCTTGAAGTTAAGCAGTGTTCATTTTCAAGAAAATTTGTGCCAGCTATTCAAGGGTGCATAACCATAGTTTTATCAGTCATTCTTTAAAATCAGTGAGAAAAGTGGTCGGTGTAGCTCATAACTCACAACTCAGGACAGTCACATCAAGTACTGTTCTTTGGGAAGACCATTGCACTTTGCTATGTAGCAGAAGTGTTTTGTTACTTCCATTTTATCACATAGAATATTAAAAGATACACATTCATGAGCCAAGATTTAACAGAATTAATTTTTACTGCTTTATCAAGGATATTCTTAAATGAAACTGTTTTTTCCCATTACTGTGTAATGATGAATATATTACATATCTCAGTGCCATTTTGTGCTGCTGTTTTGTATTCTTGATAAGTTACTCATCATTGTTTTTGTACCACCAGTACAAATCTCAAAATAGAAACTTGGTATTACCAAAAGTGAACTTACAGTTTTATAATTCAAATTGGAATCTTACCTTTCTCCTTTTAACTTCAAATAAGGATTTAAAAATCATACTAGAACTTTTCTGGTATTAATTAATACCTATTAAGAGTCACATACAAAAAAAGGAAACCAGTTCCTTTGGAAAATCAATAGAACAGTTGCACTGTAACAAAGAAAGACTTTTGTTTTAAAAGAAATGGAGCCTTTTTCTTGTACTAAGGCTGGATTTCATGCTAGTTTTTTGAGATCAACTGATTCTTTGTTATACTTACTAATACCCTTCCACCCTTCCAGATATTGCTGACATTTCTGTCAAACAGTGTCAGCAGCGGTATGAAGACATGAAATATCGTCGTGATAATGAATATATTTTTAATGCAGAATTTATAACTGCTGACTGTTCAAAGGTACAGTGTTTTTTATTTTTAATTTGTTTTGTTTTGAGATGTTGAAGATCAAATCCAGGGCCTTGATAGGCAAGTATTCTACCACTAAGCTATATACCACTAAGCTATACCCCATTTTTAAAATCAATTCATTTGTTAAAATGTGCTTTGAAACATTAAAAAATCTTAAGAAAGAGTGGGCATAACAGGACACATCTATAATCCCAGCCACGTGGGAGGCAAAAATGGGAAGATCATGGTTAAAAGATTAGAGAGGCTGGGGGCATAGCTTAAGTAAGATAGTGCCTGCCTATGAGGCCTGGAATCCAAACCCGAAAGAAAAAAATGTAATGGGCTGGAGGCATGGCTCAAGTGGTTAGGTACTACCAATAACCCCTGAACATGGTGGCCCATGCCTGTAATCCCAGCTACACAGGAAGCAGAGATAGGAGGATTGCCAGTTTAGGCCAATCTGCGCAAGTAAATAGACCAAGAAAGGGCTTTGGGGTGTGGCTCAATTGGGGCCCTGAGATCAAATCCCAGGAACCGCCCTTCCCCCATCCCAAAAAAAGAAAAAAATCTTAGGGGCATGCATTTTCAGTTTCAGCTAAATTCTCTCCAGCAACTTACTGGTTCTTCTGGGAGTTTTTTCCTTTTAAGTAACTGTGACTTTTTGATTTGGACATTTGTAATCTAGTCCATTATCTGTGGAGGGATTGGTTCTAGGACTCCTCACCTATTCCAAAATCCACAAGTGCTCAAATCCCTTACATAAAATGTCATAATTTTTACACATAACCCTGCTCACGTCCTCCTGTGCACTTTGTCATTTCCAGATGGAAAAGATACATAAATAGTTGTTACAATGTTCAGGGAATAATGACAAAAATCTGCACAGGCGTGTGTAACCTCTCTCTCTCTCTCTCTCTCTCTCTCTCTCTCTCTCTCTCTCTCTCCCCCTCTCCCTCCCTCCCTCCCTCCTTCTTCTATTTTCAATCCATGTTTGGTTGAATCTGCTGATGCAAAACCTAAAGATATGAAGGATTGACTTTATTTTGAAGTAGAAATGAATTTAACAGTGTATTTTGCTCACCTTGTAACTTGGGAGAGTTCACAAAATCTCAGAATCTTTTTGCTTTTTCCATGTTCATCTGTTTCTGAATTCCTTAACTATGAATTGAAGTCTCACTGTGAACTTAATGTTCTTTGTCTGACTTGTTAACTTATTTAAATATTGTAGATACCTTTAATCAGTTGTATGTGTTTCATCTGTAGTTTTGATATCATATTACTTTGGCTCCCAAGAAAAGCCAAAGGAAAGGCTTAGTACTGTATGTGACTGGCCATTATTAACATGACTTAGGAGTCCCTAGACTTTGGAGTTAGAATGAAAATAGGAATCAAGTTATTATTTTAAGCAGAATAAAAGGATGACTTCTTTATGGCCCTTATTGCACATAACAAGGGATAGAATAGGTTGAAGACTGATGAAAATGATAGATTGGTGGTAAGGCATGTCTGCTTTTATTTTGAGAACCCTAAATTCTGGTAATTCATTTAATAAAAAGTTTTGATTTGTGTTGAAATTACTTCAAAATCTTAGTCCATTCATGTTTGTTTCAGGAACTTTTGGTTGATAAATTTCATGAACCAGAAATGTGCTTTGACATCTGCAGTTGTCAGTTTGCTTGTCATTACTCCTTTGAGTCCTCTGAGCAGGCTGACATGATGCTCAGAAATGCTTGTGAGAGGCTGAATCCTGGAGGCTATTTTATCGGCACCACTCCCAATAGCTTTGAACTGGTGTAAGTACTTTGAAATACATTGTGGTTTACAAAATATTCAGTATTCAGCTTAAAGTATTAAGTTGCAAATGTTTATTACAACTAGAGTTTATAAAACATGCCATTCAGTCTTGTAAGTGCTGAGCACATACTATATTTGAATAAAGGCCCCAAGATGAACTTACATGTAAGTTGGAGATGGAGGTGGCATTGACCCAGAAGCTATGGTGGTAGGTAAACTGCTGAGTGATACCTTCCAGCCTGATACTATTGGTGAGATTGTAATGATCTTTTAGTACATTGCTCTTAAAAGTAGCTTGAATCCTATTAAAAGTCTGATCAGGAGTCTTTAAAATGCAGCATGTAGCTGTCACTGGTGGCTCTCACTTGTAATCCTGGCTACTCGGGGCAGAGATAGGAGGATCTTGGTTCAAAGCCAGCCCAGGCAAATACTTCGTGAGACCCTATCTCAAAAAAACCCTTCACAAAAACGGCTGGTGGAGTGGCTCAAGGTGTAGGCCATGAGTTCAAACCACAAAAAAAAAAAAATGCATCGTGTAATTTCTCATCTGCATAATAGTACCAAAATAAGTATACTGATCGCAGTTTTAATCTTTATATTTTGATTGGGGGATAACCCTAATAGAAGACGTCTTGAAGCTTCAGAAACAGAATCATTTGGAAATGAAATATATACTGTGAAATTTCAGAAGAAAGGAGATTATCCTTTATTTGGCTGTAAATATGACTTCAACTTGGAAGGTGTTGTGGATGTCCCAGAATTCTTGGTCTATTTTCCATTGCTAACTGAGTAAGAATGTCATTAATATGTTACTTTTTTTTTTTTGGTCTTATGAAGAAAAGGGGGAAAGTTAATATTGTGACTCATCCCATATTTTAAATGAAGCCCAAAGAAAAAGTAACCTCATAAAAAAGATAGTAGCATATCCAGGATTGCTGCAATAGGCCTCTTACAGTCTAACTTACATAGTTTTCTCTCACTCTTGGAAATTTATATTACCCTGTGGGTAAATAAAAGGAGCTAATTCCCTTCAACTTGTAACATAAGATACCTGACCTTGCAGGTAGCAGGAGCTCCTTTTTAAGTGAATTCAGTAATTGGTGATACATAATAAGTCTTCATAACTCAAAGATGGTCCTTTTCTCACAGAGATATCAAAAATTGTTTGCACTTAGTATCGTTTTGAAATTGACTGAGTCTTATCAACAGTCTTGATAATAAAATCCTTATTCAGGAATGTATTCCCCCTTTGTACTTGACCGCTGCAAACATAGCAAAACTATCTGCAAAATTAAATAAAAAGATGGGAAGGGGCTGGGGGGCATAGCCTCAGATGGTAGAGCGCTTGTCTACTGTGCATGAGTCTTAAAGAAGGAGGTACTTAACAGCTGTTTTCAGTGCAGCTGTAGGAGATCAAATTAAATAAAATGAAATAGATGGGAAAATGTTCCCTCTAGCTGTTTCCACAGCCCACTGTCTTTGATGTTACTTCTCATTTGTTACACTAACAGGGAGAGCTGTCTGCTGCCTGTTGGCATTCAGAACGCTTCTTTACAGGCCTGTATGTAAAGAAGTATGTTACTAGTATGTTACTCTTCTTTCATTTGTGTTGCTTTTGTACTTACGAAGGAAATTGTAGCTATGTTCATTAAGCCCAGAAGATGTCACTGTAGTCATTGCAAATATAGGCTATTAAGGGATTATAAATATTTTGAAAGCCTTTTCATTAAGTAATGTTTTTTGGACAGAATGGCAAAGAAGTACAATATGAAACTAGTCTACAAAAAAACATTTCTGGAATTCTACGAAGAAAAGATTAAGAATAATGAAAATAAAATGCTGTTAAAACGAATGCAGGCCCTAGAGGTAAGTATCCAGAAAAGGTATAAAAATTGCAGGTCATAGTGAACTCGTTTACGTGTTTTTTAAGATCCTGTCAAAGCTAGATGTATTATGCGGATCATCATTATAAACGTTCTGGATTCTCTAGTTCCTAGACAGAGCTTGATACAGAAGCTTTCCATGGTGGGTAGTCAGTAAATTCTTGGTGAATGAATGAGTGATACTGTTATCAAATTCTGTTTTCTAGGTAGTACTGCTTTAAAAATAGGGTTTCTCAACCTCAGGACTATTGACATTGTGGACTGGAAAGATGCTGTTCTGTGCCCTATAGGATACCATAGCATTCCTGGCTTCTACCTACTAGATGCCTGCTATAGCGCCCCTGTGCCCCAGTTGTGACAGACATGTGCATATGTCCCCCGGTAGGTAAAATTACTACCAATTGAGAACTGCTTCTTTACAACAGTGCCCTATGATTACACCAGTAGTTTAGAACCATCCTGGCCAGGGTCCAAGGCAGGCTCATACCATGCATAATTTTGTTCTTCGAATATATTGAGGTGAGACCTCTTTGCTTCTCTTGTTGCAGCAATGATAGGATTGTATGCAAGCTTCTCAACATAAAGCCATTGGCTGCTTTCCTTTTTTCCTTTATCATGTGGTATTTAACTAGATAGATCTAAAGTATTCAGTGAGCATGTTTGTATTCGTCAGAAACTGAGTAGCAGAATATAGTCATCACATGGGCATTACATTTAAGAGGATTCATTCAATTTGGAAGTACTTAAAAGTACCCCATTTTATTTATCCTTGTAATTATCCCATGAAGTAAACAAAGCAGTCACTGTTCATGTTTTTTTAAATGGGCAGCCTTAGGCCCAGGGAGGGTTGATTGGAAGTCACATATTATTAATTATTTTCTTCCATCTATTTTCTTTTTTTTCCCCCTTTTTCATGATACTGGGGTTTGAACTCCAGGCCTCATGCTTGCTAGGCTACCATTTGAGCCATTCGACCAGCCCTTCTTCAGTTTCTATAGGTGGCAGTCGGATGTCACTTCCTGTTGATGTTGTGTCCATACCCACTCTCCCATCTTATGAGTGGGAGGATCTTCTTTAAATCCTTAATTGTCTTTTGAAACCAGTAATCAATAAAATGTTTGTTAGCTATATTTCCTATATTTTAGAATTAGGAATGTTTTTATTTGCTTTGTATTAGGAGTAGGAGATTATTTTTATGTTTCTTGAGCAAGAGGAGAAAACCAGAAACTCTGTGCACAAGTTCCCCACACCAGCACACCTTTGTGCATTACCTCTTCTGACGGGGCTTTGCATGCATAACAATCAGTCATGTATATTTCTCCTAGCATATAGGCAATGAATTCATTGTTATCATTCATTTTAAAGTGTACTTAGAAATGGGATGACAAAACAAGGTCTTTGTGGTATATTAAAGACACAGACATACAATGTAAAAGTAGCTGTTATGAAGAAGCATTAAAAGTGCAGCAAGTATATAAAAGGGCCTTGAGAAGACAAGTAACAGTAAAGGCAGAGAAGCATGAGAGAGCAGGGGATGTGTGAGAAGTACTAATAAATTTTGTATTTCTTTAATACATTGCATGTCCAGTCTTCCTCTTCAGCCTACTCCTCCACCCCATCCTGCCCTTGAGTTGTTACCTGTGACTGTGGCTGTCTGGTGGCAAGTTTGAAAAAGTCTTTTTTCCCCTTATTTCTTGACCAAGTTCCTTTTGTGGGCCTGTAAAGGATACAGAGCAGCAGGACAGGGCATGTCCCTGTAAGAGTTAGGACATGAGTTAGGTGGCATCAGGGAGGATGGTTTGGGATGGATATTGACACCAGAGATGGAAAAAGCAGTCAGTATCAGTATGCCACTGCTTTAGTCCAGGTCAGAGATTCAAGTGGATCTCCTTCTTTATATTTGTTATAAAAATGTAATTTCCTAAAGTATCCATCCTTCAGCTAGTCCAGGGTTTCAGGTTTCCCAGAGGCTTCAGCAGAGGAAGGATGGAAGGATGTAGGCCAAGGAACTGTAGTCAGGACAGCCTGACACCCACCTTCTGTTTTCACCAGTAAAGTTACTCTGGGAACTGTTCTGGAGAAGTTAAATCCTTTAGCAGAGATCCTAGATACGCATTTTAGTGAGTTTGAGGGAGGAGAAAAAGTGATCAGTTTTGTAGCCTTGTTATGGATTAGTTGGTCTTTCAAAATGACCAATGGAGGAAAAGGAGGAAGTAGCCACTGATAGGCAGATAATCCCATAGTGGGATGAGCTGGAGAACATTTACAACAGAATAGTTTGACAACCATTCAGAATAAAGTTCTGAATCTTTGCAATGCAGTGATACTACTATTATGGGATTGAAATTCAGAAAAACTTGGGTTAAGATGTGATAAAAGTAAAGTTGCTACTGCTGGCACTATGGAAGTCCTCAGCGCAATACTTTTCTTGTTTGTTTTGGTTTTGTAGTTTATTTGACTCAGGGGCTTGCTGTGCAGCCCAGGCTGGTCTTGAACTCACTAAGTAGCCTAGACTAGCCTGGAACTCGATCCTCTCATCCTCCCAAGTGCTGGGATTATAGGCATCTGCCACCATACCCAGCAGCTCTGCACTTTTTAAACAGCAAATAAATACCTTAATTTTCCATGTTCAAACATATGGTAAGATATTTATAAAAGAAATGGCAAAAAGAAGAGAGCAACGTAGACATTCCTACATCATTTTCTTAAAAGTTCCTTAGGAAGACCTATTTTTTTTTAAATTAGATTATATTCATTGTACATTGTGACAATTCCAAACAGGCTTATATTGTACATTGGTTAGATCACCCCCACCAAACCTAGGTTTTAAAGTGGTTCCTTCCTGCTTGGTTTGTTGTAATATGACAAAGGGATTGTAAAGAATGTGTAACGTATATAGGGAAGAGTGTTATTTTATTAAATATTTATGTAATTTATTATGCTTTGAAGTGTATGTATTAAAAGGTAAGACATTTCACAGTATAGGGATACTACTTTAAATGGGTTAAATAGCACTTGAGGTAATTTGAACCTTTTTTTTTTTTGCAGAATTGAGATTTGAATTCAGTACTTTGCACCTAAGACTCAGGTTTAACACTTGAGTCACACCCTTAGCCCTTGAGGCACATATATATATATATTTTTTTTTTTTTCTTGACCCTTCACATTCTAACATAAATTTGGGAACTGCCTAGATTTTAGAAACTAAATTATTTTCCTATTCGAACTTCACTTTCATTACCTTAAACAAGGTTCTCTTTTGTATTGGCTTTTTCATTTATATTATTTCTAATTGCTATTTATGTGGTCATTGAATTGCCATTGTGTTAATATTTTGATAATGACTTTAAACTTTGTATTATAACAGAAACCCTTGCCTAGCAGTCAAGATGCAGTTTGTTGTGAAATGGTCCTTGGTTGGGATTAAATTATGTACTATGTTCCAGCTGTAAATATTCCAAAATTGTGATAAGAGTTGGCCATAATAACCTGCTTTAAGAGAGGATTCCCTCCTCTTTTTTCTTATTTCAAAAGTATGTGTAGTTTATAGTCCTGAAATAATACTTAGGGAAATAATACTTAAGGATGTTATTTTGATTAAGTAAAAATGATTTTCTGTGTCAAGTTCTGAGTTACAGATTATAGTAATCTCTTAACTAGGAATTTCATTTGCTTCCTCAGCCATATCCTGCAAATGAGAATTCTAAACTTAACTCTGAAAAGGCAGATGACTATAAACATGCAGCAGAGTACATGAAAAACAGTCAAGTAAGGTTACCCTTGGTAAGTTCTCATTTTTTAAAGTATTTTGTAGGAAAGCATGCATTATGTGGAAATTTAGGTGATGATTTCACTTGTTTACCAAACTTGGGCCCACTGAATTATACTCAGATGTGTGACAGCCTGTTGGTTATAATGGCTTTTGATGTCAAAAAACATAGAATAAAACTGGTTCTAGTGAGCTAGGTATGGAGCGCTATGTCTGAGGCAACAGCAAGATTCACTGCTCTCTTAGGCACTGCTGATGGTGTCCCAGAGACAGAATTTAGAACTTTATGAACTTAAGTAGGGAAGTGAGAGAAAAGCGCATCTTCCTTTGTACTCATTTCTGTGTGGAAGTTCACAGTTTTAAAAATAAGAAATATGACAGTACCACAGTGATATTAGCAGCTGTGACTTTGTGATATTTTCATAGCACATTTCAGCTAATGTCCTTTACTTTGAGGGTTATTTGGTGGTACTGAGGTTTGAATTCAGGGTCTTGTGCTCGACAGACAAGTGTTCCACCACTTGAGCTATGTCCCCATCTCTTTTCACATTTACTCACTTTTCCAGTAGGATCTCACATTTGTGCCTTGCTGACCCGGACCACGGTCCTCTTAGGTATTTATGCTTCCCATGTAACTGGGATGATGGGCACTCGTCACCACACCAAGCTTTTCTTCGTTGAAGTGCTAGCTTGTGAACTTTTTTATCCAAGCTGGCCTCAAACTGAGGTCCTCCCAGTCTCTACTACCCAAGTAATTAGGATTACAGGCATGAGCTACCATGCCCATCCCATATTCATCACTCCTTCAAAATTACATCAAACCCTAGAACTTGTTAAGTCAATGCCTGAGCAAAGCAGCACATATATTACTATACTAAAATGTTTAATTTCTTTGGTAGCTGTAATTCATTTCCTTTGTATAATATGTACTTTATTTTGTGGTTCCTTTAGAAAAACAAAAATGTTATTCCCTCCTCCAGTGCTATTTGATGTTTCAAGATAGGCATTTTAGGGGCTGGAGGTATCACTCAAGTGGCAGAGTGCCTACTTTGCAAGCATGAAGCCCTAAGTTCAAACTAGTCCCACAAGAAAAAAAAAAGACTAATTGTTTCATTTTTCAAGTTAAATCTTGTAAATGCTTTTTCTCGTTATATTCTCTCTCTCTCTCTCTCTCTCTCTCCCTCCCTCCCTCCCTCCCTCCCTCCCTCCCTCCCTCCTTATTATATACATTCACCTTTTTGGCAGAAGGACAAAAGTCACAAATGTCACTAGAAGTTAATCTCATTGATTTATATGTCTAGATCATAATACTATTAACAGTAAATTGTGTTGTTACAGTTAAGTTAGGGGATTTTGACTATTTTGATCTACTATTGAAAAAGAAACATGTTTATTTCCATGTTGAATTTGGTTTTCTTTTTTAATTTTAGGGAACTTTAAGTAAGTCAGAATGGGAAGCTACAAGTAAGTATGTAATCAGTGCCAATTAACTGACAATTTCAGAGATTTCTGTTTCAAAGGATCATTAAAATTTGAGAACTTCTGACACATTTTGGGTTGTGTTTGTATACACAGATACATCTGTATCCCTATAGATGTCTAATCCCCCTTTCTAGCATAACTGTAGTGATAGAGAAAATGTATAAACACATGCTGGCTCTTGCTCAGCGTAAACTTTCATAAGCGTACATAGACGTTCCGCTGCCTGCTTGTTACTAAACAGCTATCTCTATTGGATGTCTTTACCTCACAATTCTGTTGAAATTTTTGGATTATGAGACACTTCCTATATTTTATTTAATTTTGACCACTCTGATGTTGACAGTGAAGGTAGAATCTAGAAAATTTAACGAAGCAGCAGTAAGTAGGGGCTCTTGGAAGAATATGTGATTGAAAACAAACATGATACAAAGATATCCGGAAGTGGGGCTCACGTCTTCAGAAGAGAACTCAGAGGCCTGGCAGATGTGTGAGGTGCTGACATTGAGGAAGTTACCTCACAGAGTCTAAGTGATGATCATAATTCCCTTACACGGTACCCTAAGGATCTAAATGGTAATTCTCACCATCATTTAAATGTTTGCTAATTATGTTGAATGCGCAAGTGGTAACAGGGATGAATGTTGAGCGTTGACTTACATGGAATTCATGAAAGGACTTGAGGATATAAAAAGGCAAACAAGTTTCTGCCTTCTAGAATTAAATGGAAGAAACAGACACAACTGTACTGCCAGGCAAAGTTTTAAGTGCTAAAGATGAATGGAGAGTTTAATGAAAACTAGTAAAATCTGGGAAATAAGTGGTTAATATTGAAGTGTCTAGTGCCGTTCTAAAACTTGTCATTTGTCGTAACTCATTTAATTCTCACAACTGTATAAGTAGACTGTTACTTATTATATTCTCTTTCACAGATGAGAAAACAGGTGAAGAATTTTGCTTAGATCACAGACTAACCTTTGTGGTTAGCTAATCTAAGTAGCCCATTCTTAACTACAGACTTAAGGAAGTCCTTGCTATAAGCAGAACTTGCAAATAAATGTTTGCGTTATAAAGGGGAGTGAGTTACTACTAATTTCATCCCTGAAACCAGACTCTTTAACATCTTAGTGGTTTTAAGTGACCCTAAGTTAGGACAGTAGAGACCAAAAGGGCTGTTTGTAGTGGCTATGGGTAGGTAGGGTGTGGGGTTTGGCCAGTCTGCACTGCAGAAAGGTCACTTGGAGTAGGGGACCAGGTAAATAAAGCCCTGCCAGCCATTTCACAGTCTGCCAGCTTGCTTCTGAGTACTATAAACAGCTTTGATTTTTATACTTTTAGTTTTTCTTAAACTACTTTTGGAGTTTTTTGTTTGTTTGTTTTAAGAGCTATTGAATTGGCTTTTCCATGGACTGATGTCAGTATTATACTAGGAATTCATTTTGAAATAAATAGAAATGATCCCTTGTCTAATGAATCAAATAATAGAATTTTTAAAAATCAATGACGTTTTTCTTCCTCAAAAGCTGTTTGAGAGACTTAAGAATTCTCACCAAGTTATGAACAGAACTAAGATTGTTTTTGCTTATCCTGAGGAGGTAAAAAATTAAACTCTAAATTTTATTTATTTCCTCTTTAGGTATTTACTTGGTTTTTGCCTTTGAGAAGCAGCAGTGAGCACCTAGACAATCACCCCAGAGCATCACTCCGTCCTGCACAGATTCAGGCAGTCCATCTCAGATAGATTTGACAGCTGTTTGTTTTAATAGGAAACGAACTCTAAATGTGCAAGACGTTGCTGGAAACTCCAGTGCATAAAGTCAACATTTATTGTCTGATAGATTAACTTTGTATATATAAGAGTGAGTTGGGACCTTTGTCTTTAAAAATCTATTTTTGAGTAGTGTTCTAAAAATTCCATTTGCCTCTACTGTCTTAGCTCATAAAAACTATAATATTGCTTGTTAAAGCAACTGACCTCTGCAGTGCTGTGATTTCTTGAGTGTGTGTTTACAAAGCTGAATTTACTACAGCTGTAAAATTGGTAAGAGCATACTGGCTTGCCAATTGCACTCATTTTCATAGTTTTGTTGTGTGGTGTTTTTGAAGAGTAAATGGATTGTGTTCTGTAAGTTTGAATGTAAGTGTTCAGTATATATCGTTAAAACCACAAGTTTAAAACTTGTTTAGATGGTCATAAAAGTTACTTGGCTAGAATTTTATCAGTTTATTGAATTTCGATAAAATACTGCAATTCTGGAACTATTCAGAACATTTTAGATGGCAGCATAGAATTATTTTGAAAGTTTTTGGTTTTCTCTTAAGACTTTCTTACCATAGTGATATAATTAATGTAACCAGTTATCCTGCTTGTAATTAGATACGTTTAACTTTTTCTTCGTTGAGCAATGATGCTGTATTTAACTCAAGATTTAGTGAAATTCTCTCTGTGATAAACCTAGGTTCACATGTGCACATGTAACTGTAAGGAAGTGATAGACTTTGGATTATTTTCACTGGTGTTAGAGCCTGGTGACAGATGCTGTGTGCTCTCTCTAGCCCAGAGTCAGCAATGCCTGTTGCCCTGTTATACCATCAGTGCTTTATACCAGGGCCATTGTCTAATCACCATTCAGCAGTCTTATTTGCCATTTTGGAATCATTATAATTGTCATTAAAATTGTCAATTGTGTAATTATTCTTCTAGAACTCATGCCTATGTGACTTGTCATCCTTACATTATTTCCCACCCCCCATTTAGTGGGAAATTTGCTAGTTCATCATTTAGGAAATTTCCCAGTTCTAAGATGTACTGAAGATTAAGATCAAAGAGCGATTGCATATTCTTTTAAAAATCATTTATTTACAGCATGACTTATAAAGACATTGCTTCTATAAATATCTACAGTAGTTGCTTTAAAAGCATAGTCTTGGTTAATGTCTGTTGATCGTGGTGTTAAAAGTAACAAACTTTTTGGTAAGAGAACATGGTTTTCTCATTTCTGTTCCTTCTGCAATGTCTGTTTTACAGAAATTAGGTCTTTTTGCTTTTGTGATAGTTTGCCTTAAAGTCAGTGGGAAATTAACAATTGCACATCTGACTAATGGGGATGTTCATTGGTCGGGAGGGTTTGGGAATGACTGGGAAGGTGGGAAAGATAAGCTCTTGCCGTTTGGAAGTTGGGTTCACTTTAGTTTGTGGAAGTGCCTGTAAGTATTTTGATACTTTGGCAGGTACAGAAAAGCTTCACCCTTATTTCATTGGTATTCTTATTTCATGGTCTTAGTTAATGGGCAATCCATGTACTTTAGTTTTTCTGCCCTTTCCATTTCTTGGATCATTTTCAGAAGAGAAGAATCCCCAAAAGGGTGGTAATACAAAGCCGAAAGAAGAGAAATGTGGAGGTCCCTGGGGCTTTCAGTGAGGATAAGGGAGCAGAGACAAGTAGACTGGGTCTGAGAGGAGGCTTGGGTGCTATGCCAGCTGCTGTAGGTACAGAAGAACTACCATGGCCCTGTACCCATAGGATATTGAATTTGGGCAACTGCTCTTTTCCTTCAGCTTTGTTTGCCTTGTTTCCTGTTCTTTCTCCACATCTCTCCTGCATTTAAAGTGTCTGGGTAGTGACTCAGACTGTTAGGGAAAGGACTGAAAAAGGTAGCCTTGGCATACCCCACAATCTAAATGGTTGGTTTCAGATTTCTAACTGGTGAGAGGGGTGTGGGTTTTCATTGTTGGCCAGGAAGAGCACCTGAGCTTAGGCTCAGTGAGGTAGGCAGTTCACGGGAGTGGTTCCTGTGTATTCCAAGACCTGTGTGCAGTTCATCCTCCAAGAGTGAAATTAGAAAGGAAACACATCAGCCATTTGTGCAAATGACACATCCTGAGAGAGGGATGGTTGGTTTGGGGATGTGACTATTGCGTTGTGACATTAAGTTGAAGAGTTTCCACAGTCAGTCTCTAGCCATACCTGTTGTGTGTTAACCTGCGGAACCTAGCAAGCCTGTGGGAACAAGACTTCACACTGTCAGGCTGGCCTTCCAGGTGCCCTTGGTGTCCACCAGCACTCTGGTGACTGGGTCTGGTGTGAGTCCTGCAAGACACCTGCCTTCAGTGAGTGGAGGGTGGAGAAGGCATCTAGTAGCAGAATCAGTCTCATGTTAATGAGCCTGCTTGGTGACTGAAAGGTGGATTTGCAGTAATTTGAGTTTCCTGACCCACTCCCCTCCACGCTTGGGAGTTAAGGAAATGAGATTGCTCTCTGACTTCAAGTGTTGACAGAGGTTCAGAGTGCAGGGGTGAGGTATGAAATGAAGTAGGTTTTGAGGCAAGGTGTGATGTTTGTCAGCAATGAAAAATTGAAAAACCTGTCAGCCATGAGGTATCCTTTCCAGTCGCACTGGCTTCTCCAGGAACATGTCTGTCATCCTGTCTCAGTTTACTGTCATGTCATTTTGATGGGTATTCCAGGTATCCCTCTGATGAAGAGTTGGCTTTTTGTGCAGGTCTATCTACAGGGTGGAAATGCGTGTGAGAATATTTCCATTGTGTAAATTGTCTTGTCCACCTCGGGCTTTGTATATAGTGTTATCTGAAGACAACCCCAGCAGAGGTCCCTAGCTCTGCAAAGGTCCCTGGACCTGGCTCCTGTAGTCGAAGTTACAGCAAAATGTCTGTGGTAATTACTGGCCAGTGGTCACACCCTCCCTAGCTGCTGTTGCCACATACTATGCATGCTTTTTTCTTACCCTACCTTTTCACAGCAACATTTAAAGATCTCATTCAGTGGCCATTAGTGATAGATTCACATGGGTCTGGGCTAGGAGACTATCATCAGCCTTTCTCCCATGTGTGTATTTCCCAATTTCTCTGTAGGCCTGGTGTATGAGGCAGCATACACTCAGGCATGTTCTCCATAGTTTGGCTAGGGGACTTCAGGGGAGCCCCAAAGCCTCTGCTGTTGAACTGTGTGCTTCTTCATCTTCTTCAGGGTTAACATACTTTGGACAAAACCAAATTGACAGCTCACATTTATGGAACTCCCACCATGTGTCAATTGTTTTTCTGAAAGTTTTACATTTTGATCCTTATAACAACTCTTTAAGGTAAGCACCACTACTTTAATGACCAGAAAACTGAGGCAGAGGGAGAATCCAGATTTAACCAAGATAAAAGCAACTGTTTAGTGTAGGTCCAGGCAGGTCTACACTCTAGTTGTATGTCACGTCTCCAAGGGTGTCAGCTAGGTGGGTCCTGCCCACCCACCACCTGCCCCCTGAAGTATTAGCTACTGGAACTCCATTTTGGTTTGGAGCTTTGATACATGGTTACATGTTCCTGGAGAGAAGTGTTGATTCCTGAGTGCACTGGGAGGAAGCAGAGATGGACTGGGCCTTCCCAATGTGGAGCAGTGCTCTCCAGCAACCAGTCCCATGTGGTCTTTGCACTGGGGGAGACATGCTTTCCCCCTCACTGTGGAAGTGCAAATAAGGGAGAATGTGGCCAAGGAGGGAAGACAAAGGGAATGCTGCTTTGGTTTGAGCTGAGTTGCCAGCCAATGGCAGATGGGTTTGTTTTAACTCTTAAAGACAAGATGGTTGAAGTACAACATCCATACAGTAATGGCAGTGATTTCTCACAAGTGGACGCATGCATGTACCCCCACCCAGAGAGCCCAGCAGGCTCCCTTCCAGTGACTACTTTCCCAACTGCCACCATTCAATTTAAGAGCAGACTAGTTTTGTGTAGTTTAGAATGTTATGTGAATGGAGTTAAACATTACTGTTCTTTGTATGTGGCTTCTTTCAACAGTATGTGAGATTTTTATTGTATGTATTTGCACATGGTTCATTCTAATGGTTGTGTCCATTATATGAATAAACCATATATTTATCTTGGTTCATTTCTAACTTACGGACTTGAAATATCACTCCAGGTAGTCTAATAGATGAGTTTTTGTGCACGTAGGCACTCACTTCTGCCTAGGAATGGAATTGCAGGGTCTGATGTGCATCACATTCAGCTCTACTGACCACTGCCAAGGAGCTGTCCAAAGTTCCAGCTTTGTGGAACATCCTCACCAGCGTGGTCATGTCAGTCTTCTCCACTTTATCCTGGCGGGACCACAGTGGTGTGTTGTACCTTTAGTTTTTACTGCTTTGAGTGGTCAAAAGATGGAGCACTTTACATGGGCTCATTGGCCTTGGACTGTCCTTATGTGCACCTACACATTTGAATGGGATTTTTTTTTTTTAAATACATTGGTAAGTTGCTTTGAAAGGAAGTTCCTAATTTTATAGGATAATTTATCACTGTTCTCCTTTGTAGTGAGCATGTTTTACATAGATGCCTAGCCAGGAGCCATGACTCATGTCTGCAGTCCCAGCAATTTGGGAGGATGATCGTTATAGCCCAGCCCAAGCAAAAAAATTAGTGAAACTCCCATCGCAACCAATAAACGGTGTGGTGGTATGTGCCTGCCATCCCAGCTATGTGGGAGGTATAGGTAAGAGGATTGTGGTCAGAGGTCATACCCATCAAAAAAAAAAAGCAAAAAAAAAGGCTGGGAACATGGCTCAAGTACTAGAGCACCTGCCTAGTAAGTGTGGGGGCCTGAGCTCAAACCCTATAAAAAAAAAAGTCTCAAGGTCAGCGTAAGCAGGTCCCTTGACCTGACTGGGAGCAACTGGGGATTGAGGAAAAAGACACAAAGACAGACATAGAAAAGCTTGGGACTGGGTGGGTCTAGCATTCCAGATGAGAGTTGCTGGTGACCCCCTCTGCCTTCAAGTGCATTTATTTATACAGCAAGTGTGGGAAAGCGAGGTGAAGTGCAGGTCGAGTTCTCATGGGTCCAGTCGCGTAGGAGGCAGGAACAGCACAGCTGTGGTATGTTGTTATTTACTGCAGACTATCCTGACTACATCAACATGCCCTGTTTTCCCTGCAAGGCAGCCTTACTGAATCTTGCCTCC